TGGGCACAAGAGAGCTCAATGCTGGCAACTTCAACACAAGGGAAACGATACAGCACCAACTTGATATAACTTCATTGGAGCACGTCCCTTATGCTTGTGTCCCCTTTTAGCACAACATGTACTGCATGTTTTTCACCATTCTTCCACATCTTGTCTCATACCTATCCAGTAAAATCTGTGTCGTAGGTGACTCAATGTTTTCTTAACTCCGAGATGTCCTCCTGTTACAGTATCATGGGATTGACGCAACACAACTTCCCGTAACTTTCTCGGTATAACCGTTTGCCAGGTCGTCACTTTCCCTTCTGCAGTGCCCATTTCCGGAGAAGAATACCATCTTCAAGCCTCAACTGGTCCCATTATGTCCAATAGTTCTTTGTCACAGGGCTTAGACTAGACACCTTCTTCCAAGCATGGCGCAAAACAGTTACTTTTAGAAAATCAATCATTGGCTTCAAATCTGGGTCTTTCTCCTGTTCTGCTTTGATATCTATATTTGGTTCCACTTCACCATCATCAACTCTTTCAGTTGGCTTGACTTCAGCTTGATGGCACCTGGTTAGTTCAACCTCTCTTTTAACAGTTACTGAAACTTGGCCTTTGTTGCTCCCAAATGTCATTTTATCAGAATCAATTACAAACTTCCTTGGTAGTAGATAGTCCAATCCTAATATGCATTCGTCTTTAATGTCAGCCAAGTACACTTTCTGTCTGTCCTTTATGCCCATGAGCTCAATAGTTACCCACACTGGTCCCCACAATCTTGTAGAATGTCTTGTCACACCATAAAGCTTCCGTATGGCTTCTGGTACTCCTTCATGCTCACGAGAGTTTGCTGAGATGAAGAATCTATGACGAAGTTGCACCTTTGGCCGTCCAGCTTTCCTGTCACATAGACGCTGTGTGTGCTTGGCATTTTACACCTAGCTGTAGGGACTTACATGATGGGGGTTGGTGAGTGTCCCTCAACACCAACCACTACTGGTCTCCTTGAGGCTGACTTGCTGGTAATATTCCTCCTACACTGGCTCCTCAAATGTCCGTGCTTTCCACAGTTCCAACAACCTTTCTGGATACCAGCCTTTCCTGCTGTGGCATCTCCCTTATGTTGAAGTTGCCAACATTGAGCTCTCTTGTGCTCAGGTTTGTTACAGTGCCAGGAAAGTCCCTCAAACTTCTCTGAAAGCTGACCTTTTCTAGCCTTGAATCCAGATGATTGTAACAAC